CTCTTGACATATTGACTAAAATTCGTAGAGCTCTTAAAACTTACTTTGTTGCAATGTGAGCTATTTGCAGCTTTATTTTTTTAATAGTTTTGTCTTTGTCTGAAGACAGAAATATCTGAACTGCTTGAGAAGAGCTGCTTCTGGAAGCTGGTGAGGCCACTTACTTTTCTCTCATAATTGGTTGGGGCATTCAGGTTTTTGTTCAATGGAAGATAAGCACACTCTTTAGGAATACGAGGCAGATGCTTTGTCATTCGTCAGTACAGTAACCACAGTCATTTGGCAACAAGGAGGGAATCTTCTGAGTCTCTGTTTGGGCTGATCAAAGGGTTTCCTGTTGTTTCCTGGGAGAATACTAGCAGAATCAGCCAACACAAATGATATCTGTGCATGTGGTTCCTTTGGCATAGCTAGCTTCTTTATTTGTCGACATTTAATATTTTTCAGCTTCTTGGGCAAGTCTTTCCTTGTAAAGTTAAGAAATGATTGAAGATTAAATATGGCAATATGCTGATTTTAATTGTAATTGGGAGGTAGACAGAGAACACTGGCTTAATTCTACTGACAAGACATTTAAAGATTTAAATGCAGTTATAAATAATTACATTTTATTTAGTTTGTTCATTTTAGTTTATAAAATGCACAGTTATAAGTCTCCAGAGTGCATGAAATACCATTTAACCCAAAGATATCTTCTGAAAATTTACCTACAAGGAGATTCCCTTTCCCATGCTTGCATAACATGGGTTTGCCTGGTTGTTAAGGAAACTACACAAGGAAAGCTGGATGTTTCCTTGTGCACCACCTGTTGACAAATAATTCATATTTTGTGAGCTCACAGTTAAAATAGTGATTCAGGATAGAGGGCTGTTCACCTAGGATGTCTTATGATATCTGTGTCTGAACATGGGTTGCCGAAGCCCTGCTGTTGCTCTTAGTTCCAGCAGCATTACATCAAGAGGAAAATGCTTTCTCAAATGGGTGAGTCTGAGAGCTTTATAGATTAAAGTCAACACCTTGATTTCTCACAGAAATAAGTACAGAAGTGATGTTGTCAGCCAAGAACTGGCAACAACATGTTCCTTCTGAAGCTAATTCCGCATGTAGACAGGTAGCTGCATGTCACACCAACTGAAGCTTTTGTGTGGCATCTCCCAGTGAGGTCTGTGTAAGATGTGCTGTAGCAATGAATTACTCAGGTTGCAAGGGTATGGAAACCAGTGAGAGTCATCTTTATGAAAAGTGGTGGCACTATAATAAAGTTTTTCTGTTGCTATCATAGGGTTCAACAGCAAAAAGGAAACCTGCATTGCTTTGCTTCTTGTTAAACAAATGCCTTATGGAACTCATCAGGTTCAAACAGAGGAACTGCCATATAGTACCTTCTAGAGTCTCACTGGCAGTAATAATACCGTTCACTTATGCTTAGCAGTCTCAAAGACTCTGTATTCTCTTGCTCAGGTAGGTAATAACTTGAGGATGTTTCTTCTGCACATTTGGTGAAACTGCCTCCTGTACCACTGAGTTGTTTCCAGTGGGAGACTGACATGGCCACTGTATATTCACAGGTGATGTAGCATTAGTGTGCCCTAGGCAAAAGCTCTACTGAAGTAAAGGATTGGAGGTTGAGGGGAGATCTAGAAAAAGGGAAGATACTTCCAGTTTCTTTTACTTGTAGGTTTTTGTAGATTTTCTGAAACATCTATCACCTTCTGTGGTTGTAACAAAGCTAAGTGCCATGGACTCAGTGATGAAATTTATCAGCCATGATCTCCAGGTTCATAGATATGGCTAGTAGACAACTGTGAAAACAAGGTATTTGGTATGCGAACAGGGGACCAAACTGCAGAACTGTATCTTCTACTGCTTCATCAACAAAATCAATTCAATCAATGGTCACAAAATGATGCTGCCGTAGGTTTTTTGCAGTGATATTCTTCACCATGGTACCTGAACTTTGCCATTACAAGGGACTGTAACTGTTTAGAAGAAATAGGTGACAGAGTATTTCCAAGCACACTGAATCCATTTTAGCTAAACTGCACTCACTGGTTATCACCTGGCTGTAATAGGGGAATCTCTGTGGGAAACACAGTTTCTATTGAAAAACCTGTGTTTTGATATGCAAATATATTATTCTCTAAGTGTAGTGGTTAGCTGGAATAATTTAACTCTTATTAAGCCCTGAAACTTCTTTCTGAAACACCTAACAGTATCCTATGTAGCTCCACCTAGGACATGCATAGGATTAAGATGATTTCCAACTTTGTTGATTATTTTTTGAAGATGCTTTGTATTTGAGATCCCAAGCAAAATTTGAATTTATTTAGAATTTAAAGTTATAATTAAAATTATTTTGTAAAAAAAAAGAGGTACCTTGTAAATTTGACCCTGTTTTATCATTTAAGCAACTTAACAGTTTGTGTTAGCTGTTTAATAGGTATGTCCAATTTCTGTTGTGCTTGGATATCTCATCTGTTAATGTTAGTGTTGCCATTTCAATGTGACATCAAAAAGATTTTGTTAATACTGGATGCAGTGAGCAGTATGAAAAAGCAGTCTCCTAAAATGTAACTAAAGACCTAAGGTGTAAATGTGCTGATATTTGGCAAATGTATGAATAGAAATCTGAGAGGAGGTGATTGATTGTTTATTACGACTGTTAGTAAAATCGCAGCAGGGAAAATGAGTACAGTGAATCCAGATTTTAAGAAAGTCCATATACATATCTGTTACAATTTTCAGTTGAGACTTCAGACCTGAGGATTATCTGAAAGTGTGAGTAGTGAACACAAACAGATATTAGCAGTCTGACACTATGAGTCAAGTTACGCTACAGCTATGACAGATAATACAACTCATCTGTGTCTTTGAACACATGAATGGATTAATTTGTGGCAATTCAAGATGGTGTGAATTAAAAAGCTTGAAAATGTAATACAGATCTGAAAATCAAATTAGTCTCCAATCCAACAATAGAAGAACGTACACCTGCATAAATTGGGCTAAATTTGCCAGACCTTCATTGTGTTTGCTTCTTTCCCTCTCCTATTTTCAAATGCACAGCTTGTTTATCTAACACAGCTGCCTCCATGCAATTTGCTTGAGGTTTATGCCTCAGGCACCATCTCCCTGCGAATGCATCACACAGACATATTGATGCCCTAGTTGATGGTAACAGTTGATTTTTCACCTGTAATGCATTTGTCATTAAGAATCTCTTCAGGGAAAACTAGAACTAGAGCCTAAAACTTGTTTTAAATAAGGACAAAATTAATTGGTATTAAATGATTTGCTATAAATATTTGCACTTGTAATTCAAGTGGATACTCTCCAAATAGATATGTAGTTTCCATGCTAAAATATCTTCTGATATATCCAAAAAAGTTAAAAATGAGAACAGGGCACAGAAGTTATTTCTAGCAGCCAGTTTTCAATAAGATTATGAATTGACAACTTCAGAGGGCTATTTCTGACCAGAGGTTTTCCCTCTTTGCTGAAAGACGGCTAGAATTGTGGAAGAAGAATTATATATGTAGTAGTCCTGGTAGTGATATGCTTACCTTCAACTGAGATTAGTTAAAAATTTAAATACGGGAAACTTTTAGTATGGGGCGGAAGTTAGGTTCTTAGGCATGGTGCACCACGCTCCGTCTTGTGTGTACTTGTCCCTTCTTGTGTTATCTTGTTTGTCAAGCAGTAACACCCAAACAGTTATTGCAATATACACTTTTGATCTTACTACGAAATTACAATCAAATGTTATATTACAAATGTGAAAACAGAGGTAAAGCACTGGAGAAAGGAAAAGAATAGATGTTAGATATTACAAAAATAAAAGCAAAATAAAGTGCAGTCAGAACATACTTGGATAAATGTAACAATATGCAATAAAATTGTTAAAAGGCCTCTAAGTTTTAAAGTATCTTGGCTTATTTGTATAGGAAATGTACTTTAGGTAATTCTTAGAGATTTTCTGAATTTATGTTAGTTAAAATTTTCATTTTGTTCTAATGCAGGGGGAGTCAGATATTTGGTTGCCAAGATACCTGGTTTTAGAGGCTGGCAGGGCATTAAAATAGATCTTTTAAAATAAAAATCCCTAAACCATTGCTAAGATAGATCTTAAAGAAAGTGGACTTATTGTCACATACTTAATATATGAGTGCTGTAATATAAAGATGTAATTTGTATTCTTAAGGAAAGACCTTTGTAATTACTGAATGAGTTCCCCACTTATGACCCATTTGTTGGTCATGTAAGCATGCAAGCAGATGCTCAGTAAACTTCTAGGCCACATTATTCTCTAGAAAATGTCGTGTACATATTCTGTGACATCATTTTCATTTCAAGTAAACATAACAAGGGAGACCTATCGAACTGTGAAGTTTTACCTAATGAATAAAACTTAATGCAGCATGCCAGTTGGGGAAATCGTGATATTTGCAAACATATTGTCATTCCTTGGAATCCATGCTGCTTTCTTATATTGAAGCTACTTTGATAGCTGACCTTATTCCCATTACTAAATGCCTAGTAATAACTTCACAGTTTGTGCATCAAGGAACATAAATGAAAAAGTGGTAAATACCATCCAGTTTCTGTATTTGCAAGATCTTGGGGAGTTCTGTGGGTCTCCTCTCCCCAGCCCTCCTCCCACCCCACAAAACATATAGTTGTGTTTAGGGGGTGACTTTTTATTTACTGGGATATTTTGTGAGCCACTTCTTATTAGTGTACATTTTTATTGTTATTTTTTGCTGTAATGCTTGTGGTTTTATTGAAGGAAATAGTCTGCTAACTTCTCAGTGTTCCTACAGATATAACATTGGTCTCCATTTGCACTTATATTTTCTAGTGTTTTCTTCTAACTTAGTTTTAGATATCCTAAGGAACAAGATTTTCCCTTGGGGGCATTTGCAAAGTCTAGTAGATCACACTGCCAGGAAGTTTCTCCTGCTATTACTTTTAAACTTCCTCCTTCTCAATTTCATTCCATTACCTGGAGTTTATACTTCCTGTACTTTCCGAATAATTCCTTCCTCTTCTGAACGTTTATATTCTGCATATACCTGCAGGAATTGTCTCAGGCCAGTTGTTATTTCATTACCACAGACATGCTTACCTCTTTTAACCTTTCCTTGTACCATTTGAATTAGGTCCTTTATCAGTCCATTTCTTTACTCTGAGTTATCTCAAATTTGACAAGATCTTTCTGATAATAAGATTACCAGTATTTTTTACTTTGCATGGCTGTGCTTTAAAGTACCTCTGAGTCACAGAACACACCATCAGTTTAAGACAAAAGTTATGAGCCACTGCTGAAAAAATTTTTTATTGCTTGCTGAATTTTACTGCAAGTTAGTTATCATTGGAGTATTTACAGCCAGGCATAATGTCTAAGACATGTTTAAGCATTGGATAAACATATATATTTATTGGTCAACCTTGCCAAATTCAGATATGCCTATATGCAGAATGTAGAATACTACCTTGATGACCTGTACCATAAGGTCATATGCAGACTGCCTTTTGTATCTATGAAAGAGCTGTCTTTATTATGCTCTTGACTTGCAGAGTTCCCATTATTAAATACTTCTGTGTTTTTGATAGGTGGCTTTTGGCCAGATGTTGTGACACACACGTTATAGTGAATTGTATCCAACCCTCAACCCCCGTCCTAAACGTGTGAATTATTAGTTAGTCTTCCAGAATGCATAATCTCTGTGGACAACTGTGGTCAAGTCTTGGTTATACTCCAAGCCAGAGTGGTATGGCATGTGAAAACAGAGGTTTTGCATCATTCATTTGCTTTTAATACTTCATACATTAGGGCATATGGCTGGTCAGTTTAATCCTGCTATCGTGGGATTTACTGTGGTTTGCTTCACAACCACTGCATAAACAGCAAATATATTTTGAAACAATCTGATGCATGCTGCATCCAGAAAGAAAGAAAGTTTACCAAAAAGTACTGCTACTTAAAAGCATATGCTACCTATCTGAGGAGGGATCTGCCTGATGAAAATACCACATAGAAATTTGTAGCTTTTTTAGAATGGTGCATTCCAGCATGCAGGTATTATAGTGATGGGCATTCTGGAAAACCCTAAGATAGGTGGGTAGGTTTCTTAAATGCAATGTGTATGTTTCACAAGGCATTCTTTTGATTTTGTTTTGTAGCCTAACAGCAGTGGTCAAAGGCCATTTTACTCCAGTTTTGGCACCCTCTCCCCATCACAGTGCGGTGCGACCTGTGACCCTGACCATGACAGATACTAAACCCATCACTACATCCACTGAAGGTGAGGCATCTTCACCTACAGCAACCAGTAAGTATTTCTTTAGGAAACAAAAAATGTCCATCAAAGATTCGATATGATTTCAAATTGAGGCCAGAAAAAAGGCGCCTTTTCCTACTATTTGACCAAGTGGTCATCATTTTACATGAAAAGCAAGCATGATATGACTGCAAGCTTTTCCTCCCCAAATTTCAACCAATGCCTCATGTTACATGAACCAAAGTTTGTGACATAACAACCAAAATGAAAGGGAAAAGCCTGCATATTTGACCACTATTCAAGAGAAAGAAAACATGATTGTTCATCTAAGGTGGACATTGTTAAGACATTGAGAAGCACACCCAGATCACAAAGTTTTATAGTGACCAGCAGACAGAATTCCAAACAGAGATTGGATAATTTGATCCTCAATGAGCTTTCCTACAGAAATCAAGCCTTGTTGTAAAGCATACTGAATCCGAGCTATGACAATTGCTATAGGTTGTGTCATTTTTAGCAAAAAACAAGTGATGTGGCAAAAGAAAATTTTAATTCCTTGTCATTGCAACAATGGATGGCAGATCCACTGTTCTCTCTTTCCTTCCTCCCAACTTTCACATTCAAAGCTCTTTATTACTATTCAAGTGCCATATTTTTTATCCTATCATCTTCAATGGAATTGCAGTTTTGGAAATAAGAGCACAGGTGTTATTATGTATAGGTTAATTTCTTCCAAATACTCATGCTCAGTGATGCAGAATGTTGCTTTTTAACTACTTTCTGCATTTCTGTTGTGTCATTGAACTTTTATTTGGATTTGAAATGGCCAGTGTTATCCATATTTATCAGGGTGGTGAAGATTTTTAGGTACCACTTCCAAACATACACTTTGGAAGGGAACTTACCAGTCTTCAAAATACCCAAAATACCAAACCCTTTAAGGTCCGTTACGTTAAAATTACTTGCTTTAGACCTGTTTAGTACTGGAGCTGTGAATCCAGTCCCTAGATTTTGGTCTGTTGTTAATGGACACCATAAACTATATGTTTCTTAGGTGTTCTAATACTTCAAATCTTTTCATTAGAATATGAAGCAGACATAAGACTCAAATGCATAGGAGTGTCTGAGATGTAAAGAGAGAAAACTGGTTATGCCTTTATTATAAAAGGATAGTAGTAACTTTTGGACAAACTATTGTTTAAGTTTAAACAAATAATTATGTGGATAGATTTATGGAGGTGTCTTACCTGTTCTTTTAGTACATCAGAGATTTTGGTAAAAGATGGTAGAGTATCCTCCCTAGTGGTCTGTGGTACAATTCTTGCGTCTTTTAAGAAGTTCTAGCAACAAACAGGAAGCTATCACTCTAAACTGTTGGTCCAGAACAGACAACTGAGAAAATTGAGTTAATATACAGCTTCAAGTACTCACAGTTTCATTCTGCTTCCTGTTTGATGTGATTGTCCCTGGCCTAAATAGCTGTCTCAAATGAGGTTGGAGTTTCCAATACAAATGTTAAAAAGAACAAATACAATGTCAGAACTGCTTTGGGTTATTTTCTGATAATCTGACCATATTATTCATCATTACAATAAAGCATACCTGTATGCTTTCTTTGCATTGCCCTACTACTATGGGAAAAAATTTGACTATATTTTCAAATGAAGTTGCCACCTAGTTTCTTGTGCAATTCATTTGAACTTGGGTACCTGATTCCCCATGACCCTGAGAACATCTCAGCTTAGATACTTGAAATAAGGCCTCCTCATACTTCCACAGGACTGTGCAAATAACTACTTGCCTAAAGAGCCAATGTGTGTTACTACAGAAAGTAAATTAAAAAAAAAAAAAAATCCCCTACATACAAATTTTGTTTGAATGTGTCAGTTCTGAATATGAGATAGTGTATAAATGTTAAATATTCAGTATAGTTTTCAGAACAATGCAATAGTCTTCTCTGCTTGGTAAAGCCTTTTGAAACTAGATTGGTAACTGTAAGAGCAAAAAGTGAAAGAACATCTCTGGTTGATGAAGAAAACAGCAAATAATGAGGGATCATGTCCCACTGATAGATAAATTATACATGAGTACATATAAACTGTATTATCAGTCAGAATAGACCTGCTGCACAGAGTGCTAATGTTAACTTAATGGAAAAATCAAGACTAAATATACTTTATGACATAGTTCTACTTCTATTTGCAATAACTGATTGATTGGTTCAAGATATATATAGAAAGATATATAAAGCATATGCTTGGCCAATGAGTTATCATTATTATTCAGTCTGATGAGAACAAAATAGTAACTGATTAGCACTGCTTTTCATTCTGAAGTGCAATAGCAAAATTGTTTTGAATGATTAAGAACAGTAGGCATTGATAATATTTGAGGAACCCTGTAGCCTCCACTATAATTTCCTTCTAATAACTGATTAATTTTTATGACAGTTTTTCAGTAAAGCCTGTTTACTGTATAAAACTTTTTTTTTTAATTTTTAAATTTAATAGATTTCATTTGCTTTTATTTGCTGTGTGACTTTACTACTAACAAACAGGCCAATTCAGTAAGTACTCCCATCCAGCAGCTCACTGGTGTCCTTGTGTACAGCTTTTCAATTTTAGTAGTTTTGCTTTGCCTAATAGCAGGTTTCCAGGTTGTGATGCTGCAAGTTGCAGTGTGGATATCTCCACACTGGGAAGTGTAGTCAGACCACCTACCTTGCTTCATAAGTACCACCAAAAGCCATGAGAGGGTAACGGCTTTTAGGAATTATTGAGAGAGACCAGACAGGAATGTGACCTATAGGTGAAGGATCCATATCCTGTAACTAATCCCTGCATCACCTACAATTCCTTTTCTTCTCAGAAATGCATTTTTTTAGTCTTCTGTAGCAGACAGTGAGAGACTTTCTGAAATTTCCCCCCTGGGAAAATGCTGTTTCCTGATGCATAGGGGAGTTGAATACTTACTTAATGTTACATTGCACAGTAAAAATCACCTCCCTTCTGATGAAAATACTAACCAGATTACAACCTGTTTCCAAAGGCCTGTAAAGACACATTTTATGCTACTTAAGTAAAATGAACTTTTGATTCCAGTTATTGTTGTTCTTCTACAGTTTGTAATTGGCCTTCAGAGCAGTAAGGATAATAACTGAGTACTAATATTTTCTCTCAACATTTTAATCTCAGTGATTTCACTGGTGCCTTAGATTGTTGTAATGGAAATGAGAATCAATCAATCAGGCTTGTGATTCCTTCAAATACATACCTTATTTAATCACTTCAGTCACAAAAAATAAAACCACAAACCAGAGCAACTTCTATGTAAGAAGAGACATAATTATGATTCACATGTGCAGTTTCCATTGAAGTTTATAGGAATTTACACATGGCTTTCCCAATTTGGTCCAATTTTTCTTTTGCATTCTATTAAATTTTAAATATAGGAATACCACAGACACATCCTGTATATTGCAAAATCATAACTCTGGATCTCTCATAATTGTACTGTACCTGCACAGGGTAATAGTTATGATAGGTTGGCATTTTTATCAATCTGTTTTGTTCTTCCTTAATCAGCCTACACAGCCTCAGGCACATCCCAAGCCAATCGATATGTGGGACTAGGCCCAAGAGACCCATCCTTCCTACACCAGCAACAGGTGGGCAAGTTTCACATAGGTGTAATGATATAGAGAACCTTTTGCAATATTACCTTCCTACATACTGCCACTGGTATCTTGGATTAGACTGGGATCCTAAGGGTTTCAGTATTTGTCATCTGAAGGTGAAGTGTATTCAAGACAACTGAACCCTTTGAGAAACATCAATATAGCATATGATTTCTTACATTTGTGCCATCTTAAGGAACTTCTAGTCATATTTCTTTCAACTATTTAATTTTTCAAGACCTCATTGTGTGCATTCTTTAATAGGATTTCAGGGAACAGAGTGAAGTGTATAATGAATAAACATTAATTTCAAAATCAGTTTTAAAAAATGAGCAAAATTTACAAAGCTAAAGGTCCAACTTACTATTTTAAAACTATTTTTTCCCCCAGATGTTTAAGCCTACATTTCTTCATTTTAGTTCTAGAAGAATGAGTTATAAAACCAAATTCTCAATGCAATCATTTATAGTTTAATAGGTTTAAATTGGTCTGCTGATTTCAAACATGATAAACCCACATTTTTGTTTTAGTTTCTTACATCATTTATAAGTAGCATTTTAAATTTCACATCTCATTAATGCTGTAAATTTAATGCAAATGAAGTGTTTACCCAAACTGTGAAAATATACAGCCGAGATTAATGATGGATTACAAACAAATTAGCTGGACTCAGTAGCAAGGCCATGCACATACAGAAAAGCTACATTACAAGTAACAGGAATAAATTCAAACCCTTTAGAACATACTTTATGGTGTGTGTTTCTGTTGCTCCTGTATCTTAACAGTAGAGGACTTTGAAATTAATAGCATGTAAAATGTTATAAGGAAAAAAGCTTAATGTGACAGTAACAAAAAAGGCTGTTAAATAGTCCTTGGTATTTATTATACTATATTTTCTTCTCAGGCTTGAGTTCCTGTTAACAGTTGGTACACATGACTGTTTCATTTTTCAGTAAAACCTGCTGTTCTGTGTTTGCTGAGGTACAGCTGAAGCATGCTTCATCTGGAACTCTCTACCCCTACCCACTCCCAGGGCAAGGTGGCAGTATGTCCATTTTAAAGGTCACCACATGTGGAGTTCAGAGAAAATCATAAAGATGATCATTTATTCAAGATAGTTGATGCTTTGCCAACTATTTTTTTAACCAGTGAGACCTAACTGGAAACATCTGTACACTTTTATGAAAATACCAAATGACAATTAGTGGGATCACCAACCATTCATTTTTCAGTGAATTTCCTGGTGTGTTGCTTTTTTTAAAACTTCTCAAAGATTGTTCTGTTATGAAATGTGTTATAATTACTATAACATGGTTCTTTTATAAAGATACACTATATGTTTGTTGCAATTAAAAACACACATGTCTCTTTTTAAACGCAGTGCATATAATTCTGGATTTCATGTGAAGTTTTACATAGTATCCTTCAAAAAGCCTCTGACATCCAGTTAACTTTGGGATGTGCAATTTATTTTTTATTTTTCACTACAAGTTTTTAGACAAAACTTTTTCTGAAAATTTTCTACTGCTTAAACCCAGTCCACCTTCTTTCAAGTTCATTGAAAAAGTTACAGACTTCTTGTAATATGCCAGAAGGTAGTGGCAGCATCCTTAATTGTCTCTTGGCTGCGTTTATGGACATGTAAATTGTATACTGCTTGTTTTATGCATCTTCTATATATTTTTGGCTTTGTGTAGATGAATATAAATTTGGAGATTTCATCAGTGTCATAAGAAAATAAAAGCGAAAGGGATCTCAAGGGTCATCACAGTCTTTGGTGTTTACATGCACTATGTCTTATAGTCCCTTCCATGGTAAAACATATGGCCAGATGGCTTAGGGGAAGGGGAAAATAAATTAGGTGGTCTCACATGCACTTCATAAACAGAAAAATTCTTCAATGCCACCATCTGAAACCAGTGTTCTCCCTTCTAAAGTATATTGCTTCATAGTGTCGTTGTCTTAATTCAAGAACATCAACTGGTGACCAATGAGCTATATAGTAAATTTAAAAATTGTGTCATGTTTTCATCTTTGCTGCGAATTCTCTTCTGTTCTCATGTATGCAATGGATATATGTGTGTGTTTACCTGAGTGTGTTTAGGGCGGAGCACAAGTGTGGATGCTTACACATATAAATACGTACAAAATCAGGGAGTAGTATGTACTGCTGAAGCCATTTGAAAGAAGAGAAAACTTTAACAACAAAGCTTTTTCATATGGATAAATATGAATATCTAAGTGTGTATATGTAAGTTTCTAATTACTTAGTTACCTTCACTCACTTAAATTTTAAAGACGTCTCTGAGATGACAGTGCCATATATGTTTATTATACAGAGAGTGAGATAGAGCACTGAGATTGTTCAAAGAATTTTTGTAGAGCAAAGGTTATCCTTTGGTAAAGCAGAAATGAGATTGATTTACTATGTCCTTTCATTACTTTACAACAATTTAAAAGAGACCACTCTTCTTGTGGCAGATTTTAAATGCATTTGTTCAAAGCAGCCCATGATGAATGAAAAGAAAAATCAGAGGGTACATGAAATAAAGGCAATCAATCATTTTGTACTAGTGGAAAGAAATTCTAAATTAGAAAGCCAATGATTTTAGTTCCAGAGAGGTCTTTTAAACATTCACCATACCCTGTAATGCACACTGACCCCTTAAGAATAAATATTGTCACCGGTACATTTTTTACTTCATTGGAGGAGTCTTTATGAAGATTTATTCTCTCTGATTATGAGAAATATTGGCATGTACTGTTGAGTACTTTTCATTGTTGTTAAAAAGGACCATTATGTAGCCTGTTTAAATTGCAGTAACCACAATAAATTTAGAAGTTACACATGTATTTTGCAACAGGCATTTACATGGAGTCTTTTGACAAAGTGATAGTTTGCTAGAACTTCCAGTAAAAAATTTAGCACAACCTACCTGGAATACTCACATTTAGATGCGAAGCACCGAATACAACTTTGAAAAATGTTGCATAATAACACCAATGGGAGCAGTTTATTTGCTTTTACTGATCTCAATACTGTGAAAATTACTGTGTTACAATGTGGCATGCTACATTGATTGAATGGCAATGTTGTAATGAAGAATTGTAACTATGCAGTCAACTTTCTGCTGCAGTTGCTGGTTTCTGTTACCTGCCTTGAAATGCCAGGTATTTCTATACTGTGACATGAACAGTTACAAAACATATCTCTTTTTCAATGGCATCTAGAAAGTCACCTGTATCTTATAATTTTGTTGTTAAAAAGTCATGTCATTCCTCCCTCCCCATTATTACAAATTTTTAATGACCACTTGGTTTGCTTTTCTTTATTCAGCATCAGCTTCTGAGAGTTGTTACGTGTTGATAATATAACTGCAGAGAGGGCACCATAAGAAAAGGCAAGGGAAGTGGTAAGAGCTAGTACTTTCGTGAGACAGTTTTTCTTAATTTTACTATTAGTACCTCGTGGGATTATAGTATGAAGTTAGATCTATTATTCAGTGCTCATCATCTGTGCTGAGAAATGTCTTAAATTAATTGCACATAAAAGAAAGGTTGGATAATCTCCACAATTATATAGGAGCATTTCTCTCCTGCCCACCCCGCTTCTTTCTCTGATTTGCATCTACTGAAGGTTTGTGGTTTCTAAGACTAGATTAGAGGAGGAAGCAGCAAATTGAGGAAACACAGTCAAATTCAGTCTTCTGCAAGTGGACACAGTCCTTTGCCAAACGGTAGCTGTGCCTCCATTCTTTTGGCCAAATAATTTTAATGGAGGTATCATTAGTTCAATAATGATGTCTTAAGGAATAGAATTCTCATAGTTATGTGATGGCATTTCTGTAGCCTCCTTGTGTTACTGTTCTCAGTGAATTTATTGTGTTCTTAGAGACAGGTTAATGTTGTTTGTGGTTTAAAAGCTAGAATTTTGATAGAAATACTAGTCATGTACTTTGTCTGTGTAAATAATATAACGAGATAGATGGATGGAAAGATAGATATTTGTATTCATTGCAGATAAATACAAATAAATATAGTTTCACAAACTTCTATTGGAATGAAGGAGATAACTGACAGCTTTTCTTTCTTGGATGTTTATTTAGTTTTAATGCACCTTGGAGCCTTGTATGGATGTTTTTATTTTTAATCAGAAAATATAAATAAACGTGATAGCTATTGAGGTCTATGAAGACAATGACCTCTAGAACTTTCTGTTCTCTTACAGTAAACTGTGCTAACTAACGCTGGCTGAGTTACTGAGGAGCTACTGAACTCTTCCAGTCTTTGCAATGGTTAATGCAGTGGCATGGTTTTCACCAGAGCTTGGACTTTCTGGGTGAAGTGTGTGGTGTGCAGGATTTTCACACAGCTTCGGCGTTTACGAGTGAGACATTTGCCATGTACATAGTAACAAGAAACACTTCAGGTCTCTAAAATGAAAAATCAGAGAACTGTAGATAGCTTTTTATTTCCTACACACCAGGCTTCCCTGCCTCTTTGGTAGGAAGTTGTTCTTACCAGATGCATCCTCTAGTTACTGAATCACACAGTTCAAAACAGAGTTCTCTTCATACTATTGAGCATGGAAATTGTAAACTTAAATGTCCACTGAACACAGAGTATCTGTTTGTAAAGCATTTTGGGTGGATGTTGCTTTTGCTTTCATTGAAAAGCTGAAAGAAGAACACAAGTGGATTCTTAAACAGAACTTCTTAGTAAAGCCAGGAAACAGGTTATCAACAGTTAGGCTGTTCTTATTGTGTCCCTTATCATAACTGACAGTTTGACGTAAAACTGGGTCACATGACCACCAGGGAGGTATGTAAATGGATAAGAGGTCACCTTTCACATATGCTTGCTGGAAAGGAAACACATTTAAAGGAAGTTTCAGTCAAAACAATGACTATATGCAAATATTAAGTTTTATGGGCTTTTCTCAACCAACAGATGCTATAGCACAGTCTTCTATCCCACTTTCCAAAATATGTATCTACTTCTGTGATGGCTATGGCTACTTTCACTAGCCATCACAGAAACTTGAAATGAATTAGCCACTCTTAAATAGGAGAAAATAAACCCTGCTTAAATATTAACCCATAAAAATTATTCAAACGAAGATTAAAATTGAACTGTGGGGTTTTAATGTACATAGGATTTGAATACTTAAAACACTGCTGTATGGTTATGCTTGCTAGGTGCCCAGTTTAAACTGAACAGGCAGATACAGTGAAATTTAGCTCTTGGGTAGAACTTCACATCAGTGCGTCTCACAGCACTGGAAAGTGCAAACCCCAATAACTTCCCTGCCATCTTACAGAGGGCAGGACAGGAACAGAGAGGTAAACACCTTTAAGGCAGGTGGAAGGGTTAGGTCTACAGCTCTGCTTCTATGTGGGCTGTGATCCCATCCCACGGTGCAGCTGAGATGGGTGAAGGAGTTGCACTGTGTCCCTGGAGAAACACTTGCAGTGGGCTTTGTGCTTTCCCTTATTTCACGAGTGTAGCAGTGAGGATGTATCTCAGGGATGAGAGACTGCAGCAGTGAGGACATGTTGCTGCAGCTCAATAAGTCTGGAAATGGCTGGGCTGCCTGTAGCGTTTCCCCATCTGCTGCAATGCTGGGCATCCTTTTCCACTTCTGAATACAGACCATGTCCTTTTTCTGTGTGGTTATGTGAGAGATAAATAAAAAAATCAGTGATAATGTTTTGTGGATGGAAGGTGTTACTGAAGTGGTGGTTATGCGGCTTGCCTTGCTGAAAATAAAACTGTGGGGCTGAAGAGCAGGCCTTTCCAACAGGCTTCTAGGAAAGACTTTTCACCACATCACATGCCAAATCAGGTCATTTGATTTGCATTCATAACTTGTTTTTGAGAAAGTTAGTAATGTTTTTCAGCATTTATTAAATGTCTCATGAGAACTATTTCTCAAGGCCCTCTACTGAGGAATTGAAGTTTTCTCAAGTAGCCTTTAAGTAGTTTCCTGCCTTTCCCTTTCACATGTCCTGCAGAGAAACTTTTTTAGATGGCTTATGGTGGGTGAGAGTGAATGTGCCTTCTTGTCTCCAGCTAACACAGAAACATGATTTTAGAGGTCACTTAATTTACTCTGAGGACTACAGATAGCCAGAAAACTTTCAACATGACTTCAGACAACACATAGCACTCAAAATACTGTACTAAAATGCCCTACATCCTCCCAAAGCTGCGTACTCATGTCAGGTCTGCTCCCCCAGGCTTTCCCTAGTGGGCTGTTAGGACATCCTCCAAAGGCAGCATTCCCACTGTTGCTGTGAACAGACGTCTTCTTCCATCAAATGGAGCCAGGGCTCATAGAGCTCTTTCAAGCTTCTCCAGTCTTTTACCCTGAAAGCACTCAACGCATGTGAAGGATGCAGACTTTGAAACTGATATTTCTGCATACTTTTGAAAGTGTATTTCTAAATCTTAGACATTCTGATCTCTATGCAGGAGTGATTTGGGAGAGGAAATTTTATGTGATGAAGGAAAAGAAACCATTTTCCTGGCAGGTTAGAATTTAAAGACAACACAGCAGCTATATGAGCCTGCTGAGGAGTATGAAGCAATAGTTCTTAACATTGGAAAGGTGCTTACCAACATAGTTGATGTGGTCCTGGCCTTGTCATACAGATGTGCAGATGTGCAGTTCTTCAAGGTGCTGTCAGTACCACAAGTATGGCACATTTGGTGCAGTGAAGAGCACTACAGTTTACATTAACTATAGGTGTGGTGTAGCATGAGTCTTCGTATACATGTGCACGTGTCTACAGTTTATATATAAAATGCACGTGTTGTATTTTTACCATTACTGTATTCAGATGTATAGTATTGAGATATGTATGATGATATAATATGAAGTATGTCTCTTTTTAGAGCTTTCTTAATGATAAATTTAACATATTAACTGTATATGTAGAAAGTTTTCATACACACTGTGGGAAGAATGCAATGATTTTGTGCAGAAGCTGATTTACTAAAATGAAATGTATCAATTCCTTACTGTTTTCCCCACATGGCAAAACCAGTCAGGTTCTTTAGCAAGCTAAGTACTTACCAGATTTTTGAGCTAGACCTAAGTGCATAAACTCTAAGTTTGTAATTTTAGTATTCTTTATGGTTCTAATCAGCCAAAGGACTTTTATTTGTAGATTTTATATTTCATGAAAGAAGAAAAGGGGTGTGTGTTAACCTTTCAGTCTTGTGTTTCAGCTGGATGTGAGTTTTTATACCTAAGTTACAAAGCTTTAAAATATACATCAGTAATGAAGATTACATTCTTAAGGATTATAGCAGAAACACTTCTACTGTGCATTGAGTAACTGAGCTGACATATTTTACTATGTCTTTAATATTAAAGTTAGGTTTAAAATAGTGTTTTGTATAGTGACTAAACCAAATATTTACTTACCCCTTTCTTCAAACATATTTAATGTATTATTCACAGTTACCTCTAGCAAACTTTTTGACTGCATGTTTCCTTTTCTGGTTAATTTCATGTGGTTTAGTCATGCTTTTAATGGCCTTTAGAAGGTCCCTTGGAGTTCTTTAGATAACAAACAAGAAACAATCCCTATGAAAACACCAGAGACTAACATTTCCATCTCTCAGACCTTAACAGCAGGAAGCTTATGAGTCTAACAGCCAGACAGGGTCAGGTTTGCAATATTGTCTTGTCCTTAGCATTTGTATTTTTCAGGAAAAGACTGCAATTAATTGTGCTCCTATGAAAATAGTTTGTTGTAGTTTGTTTGCTATAGCATGTGCTATCTAAAGGCTAAAATGAAAATGCATTGAGTACAATTAAACTCATCAACAACATTATCTTCAGTTCAGTGCTGTATCATATATAATCATACAGCAATATATATACAGCATGACTATACAGAGGTTAAAATGTATGTTTTTTTATAAGCCAGATAAGTTCACTTCCTTAAACTTAAAAATAAGCAGTATATCATTTCAATAAATCTGCTAACACTATAGGGCAATTGTTAAATAAACAGAGCTATAGAGGATTGCTTGAACAATCTGTGAAGGCAGAAATGGTGATTTGAGGATCTGGGAAGAATTTGTTTCAGCTGACATTTAGTACATTCCTCATTATATTAAAATGCAATAAAGTATTTTAAATGCTATTATTCTGAGTCTACAGCAAGATTAGATTATTTTATCACCTCTTGCTAAGTAATACCACTTTCAGTAACACTAGATTAATAAACTTCAATCACAAAATACCTTTATGCTTCTTAAATAGTGAGATAAGGACATAGAATTTGTTTAATCTGAGCAAATTTTCCATAAATTGCATGTCTTCTATGTTTCATGAAATGCATGCTACAAGATATCAATTATATTTGACCTTTACTTAATACACAGTATATAGAGCATTGCTTAGAGAAAACAGCATTTTAATTTCCTTTCTTAAAGTATCTTGCTATTGAATATTAACATTTCCTTTTATTCCAGCTCAATTTGTAATCTAATAATGGCTAATTGTTATGTGCTAAACACTAGTTACTCTTTTATGCTTTATTAATAGAGGAGCATATTAAAGTAGCAGTATCTTAAGCAAATCTGTAGGCATTTATTTCTCAGAATAAGTTATTTTTGTTTGTTTGTTTGTTTTATCTTTTAAAGTTACTTCTTGGGAAAGTAAGGCTTTTGCCATGTACAGTACTAGTTTGCATGTATTCATTTAAATACTAAAAACTGTAGAACTGCTCAATCCATATCTGACTGCTAGGTTTCAATTGACAGCTGAGAATTTGTGACTGGACCATGAATCAAAACGGCAGGCATTTATACCCCAGTGCCAGTGAGGATACATTGGGAATTACTTGGCAAAGGTAACATTTTAATTATTTCCACTCCTACACCACCTCTAAAAAAGTTGCATTGGGCTACAGTATCTGTGTTAGTGGGCCTATAGAGGAGTATTTGACATCATTTGATCAATACACGCGTGTAACATTTCTCCACACGTATTCAGGTTATCCTAGTGTAAGCTGAATTGAGAAACTGCCTTAAGCACCTGAAATGACAATGCTGTGTTGTCAAATGCATAGGTTTCATAAATTCATGGGAATACTTATCTTAGGCTTTAAAAATGAAAATGTAATTTGCAGTCATATTTTGGGGGGCTTAGTGGTTAACACAAAGAAAACCGTGCTGTTACAGCTGTAGACAAGTATAATAATAAATGTCTGAGGTGGTGGTGGGTTTGAGCAATGAATAACCATACTATTCATAGAAACTTCTATGACTGATCATAATCAGCTGGCGTAGATTTAGTTCACTAACATATACATGAAGGTAAGATAAAAACCATCTTATTTTTCAATTAAATAACAGAATAATTAGGAATGATTTACACAAAGGAGAGTTTATTTTTGTATGAAAAAGAAGCAAATATGATAAAACCCATTAACCTTTGGTACATTAATAAATTACCCATTATTATCTTTTACATCTCTTGATATATAATGAATTATGGTAACAGTAGAGGTGTGTTTCTAAATAGGTGTGTAACAAAATCAGCATAATTGTGATACATCGGGTTTTCACCTCTTTCATGTGCAGGGTTATGTGCAACATTCAACACTTAATGGGGGTTATATGTGTAAAGCCTGTGGGTTAGAAGCCTGTCAGATGAAGTATTAGCTACTCACTCTCAAAATAATGAAATTCTCAAGTACATTAAGATCATTTAGGTAACTCTTTTTTTTTTTTTTTTTTTTTTTTGGCTGTACAGATGAAGAATATACATATTATCCATTAAAAACCCAAAAAGAAACAACAACTTTCTTTTTTCATAACCACAGTTCTGTGATAATAACTCTATTCCTAGAGACAGAAGGTGAGGGGAAGCTGTGAAATTCTGTAAGGCTCAGTTAGGAAAATATAACCTTAGTCACTCTGTGAGAGAGCAAGAGCATACATAAGAAGCAAACTTAAGACATGAGAGTGAGAAAAAGTGTGTATGTGGTTGTGTGTACGTGTACGTGTGTATGTGTTTAAGTCTGATGACATGAGCTTGAGCCTGAATCTCAGCCACTCATTACATCATTGATATTAATTCCAGTGGGACCACTCATAAAAGCCGGCATGATGGGTCTCTTTTAGAGCATGTTGAGTATTTGCAGAATATTCACAGACTGTAAGTAAATTTTCATTGCCAAACTGTACATTTTAAGTTAGCTATTGCCAAACCTATTTTTATTCCAAACTATTGTTATTTATATTCATGCTTGTAACAATCTTTTTGTGTTAGTTTTATGGGTTAACTGTTACTTTAACATTACATTTACACTACCCAGGCAAATGCACTAAGTTAGCATTTCCTGCTTTTGGTCTGCTGTCTTGACACATGAGATTAGTACAACAGCTGGTTTATTCCTGGAGATGCTGAGGGGAGTTCTGTTCTCAGAGTGCTGAATTTCCTTCTCAGCTCTAGCTGTAGGGGTGTACAGCTTTACAAACATCATTTTCTCCTCCCAGCACCACCCTGCATTAATGCTGTGGCAAGCACATTTTGGCAAACACAAACACCTGTTAAAGCAATGGTTCATACCCTCTGTCCCTCCCTCTCCTACCCTCCTTTGCCCCGCCCCAATCCCCTTAGGCAATATTTTGGAATAGAAATATCAATTCTTAACAATTTAAGAACAAAAGTATCCTGATTATAAAAGTGTTTGTAGAAAGAAAACCTAATGGTTTATGGTCTTTTCCAATTTAAATGTCTGACTCAAAGGGTTTTGCCTAACTCTGTAATGCAGAAAGATGTGCAGAACATTATGTTTCCTCTCCATATAGGCAAACATCTTCAGAACACTTCCTAAGAAATTAGTTGTATTCAAGCCAGGCTTGCATGCTGCCATCCCACAGGAAATGGGTCAGCAATCCATTAAGATGCCATTAGATAATCTAATTTGGAACTTAATCTCTAAATTAACCATGCTCCATACTTGAAGCATACTTGAGAGAAAGAAAAAAAGTTTATGTTTGAATTGATAGGGGAGCCGAAGCGTGAAGAAAGCTGTTTGTTTTTTCTGTAGCTGTGGTCACGTCTCAAGCTGTCTGGTAACCAGGAGAAACCAGACATGATGTAATTCCAGATTGAACTTGAACTTCAGGGACTTGGAATGGGGGAACAATGGACCATAGGAATCAATAATGTCCATTTTCCACATGATTATGTTTGGAGCTTTAAGTTAACCTTTATGGGATAAGCAGCAAGAACAGCAGTGTGACCAAAATGAATGAGATGATCCAGAAGCAAGATGTTAAAGTAAAGAAAACAACTTCAGTAATATTTTCTGAGCAGCACTGCAGATTCCAGCAGGATTAGAAAAGTTCCCGGTCTGCAGTGAACTGGTTGCCTGTTCCGAGCACTCTTTGTTCACTTAGGTAGGACAAACTTAATCTTATGTTTCCTGTCAGATGATTTTTGGCAGCACTGCTAGGGAAGGAGGAGCATATTATAGAGAATTCCGAAGTCTAAACTGTATCTTTAACCCCTTGGTTACTCTAATTTTTTACCTCTTAAGCATCTTACCTCCAGTTGTTTCTCTTGAAGCAGTAAAACTACACTGTTTCAGTTTTATTTGTTTGTTTGTTTTATTTTGTGTGGTGCAGTTAGGGTTAGCTGCATTATTATTTAGCCATGCCAATATGATAAATAAACTCTTAGTTATATTTTATAGAAGTGTTAAAGTAAAAAATCCAACAGATTAAAAGTGGTAATAGTAATATTTTTGGGGAAAAAAGCAGTGTAGATATGGAAAGTGGAGAGTCAGTTTTTCATAGGTGACCCAATGGTCTCTGGTAACCCAAGCCCATGTTCTCCATGGTTTGGCTCTGTGGCAGGCAGTTCTCCACTGGGTCATAGCCCCTTCTGTGTGTTCGCAAACCTCTTGTAGCCCTGTCTCTGCACCAAACACTCATGCATGCATGGTCCAGAGCACAGCATGGGCGTGCACCATTTCTCTGGGCCCTTCCTCTGCTGAGGATTTTCTTTGTTAGCAATGGGCTCTGTGGCCTCTTCCCGATCTTTTCTTATCCTTTTTTTTTTTTTTTTTCACACTGTCATAAAGAGAGAATAGAATAAGAACTACAGCAGAATTCCTTTTTGCCTCCTCTATCTGCTCAATGGGTGGTATGTGCCTGCTAAACTATGAAAGTCATCCTAGATAAAGCTGACATATACTTAATATATTTCTTGAAATAAATGCTCACCTTGGAGGTGAAATTTGGCAGCTATGTAACTAGAGATACCAGTTCAGAATGGTAACAGAAGTACCACATTAAGTGGATGCTGAAGGGGTGGTTATTCCTTTGGCAGAAATGCACAAATGGGAACTTAGCCAGGGCACTGAGGTTAGCACAATTGCATTCCCAAAGTTCATACAATCTTAACAATTTGAAATGGCAAAGTTCTCTGGACTTGTGTGGGCAAGCAGTTGCTTAGTACAGAGATAGATGAGCTTGGTGATTCGCTAGTGCCGCTTCTTTTGACATTGAAGGCACTTCTGCTTTTTCTGTCCAAAGACTGACCTGGCATGATCTGATCTACCTCCTCTAAGCTAGTGAATTCATGCACAGGGTAGTAAAGCTGCAAGAAGGAAATACTGGTTTAGGTATACTTTCTGAATGATTAAATACTTTCATAGACTTCTGAAGCTGTAATAGGAAGACGGTAGTAACTGGTGGAAAATAAAAATCTTGAAATCCTTCTGATTTACTTAGATCTAATTGGATTTATTTTTTTATTGTGTTTAGTTAATTAACATTATTATACTCTTCATGCTATTATAACCTCCAAAACAAACTGTATGTACACATAATATTAGTATTGTTTGTGTTCCATTCCAGTAATGTTTTGATCAGAGGTTAAAAGAGCAATTACTATCTTTAAGAGGAAATCATGGCAGGAATCTTCATTGAATCAATATGTGAAAAGCGTAATAGAAACTGTAAAGGAGAATGTTAACCCTGTAGGATGCTTGCAGACTTTTTCCTTGCTATTATATTACATTTGAACTGATAAATAGGTTATACTTGCTGTGGAGGGAACTGATGACACGTCTAATAGTCTAGTTATAGTGAGAGAAAACTGTCTCTGGTAGTGAAATTACTTAGTGGTATAATGCTTCAGGAAGGTGGTCCTGCAATCATTCTCTCACAAAGGCTACAAGTCTGAATCTCATAGCAGTTCCTGATGGCACTTCTCACATAATTTTCTTCAAAACTTAGCCTAGAGCAGATTTTTGAGGTATCATTTAATATTTCAGGGGATGGGCATTTATATTATAACCTCTGCTCACAGATTTCTTCAGGAACAGCGAGCTGGAGGGTAGGGTAGACCTGATTTATGCCACTCATACGTGCAGAACTGTTTTATCAGGTGAAGCCACATGGGCAGAAGGACGTCATTAACTTCTGCAAGGACAATCAGCTTGCCTGTGCCCTGGGCAATGAAAGGAGTTTTGGCTTCCCCTGTGTTGAGGCAGTTAGTTGAACAGAGAGAGAGCATTGCCCCTGCTTTTGTGAAACCAAGGACTGGAAGTTTGGACTTCTGGTCCAAACTGGTGGGTAGTGTGGTGAAGGGAAAGGTGTTCTCCCCTTTCTTGCTGTCGTCACTCATGTGGGTCCCAGGCAGAGTTTGCTTTGCAATCAGCAGTAACATGTCCTTCTGCTAGGATGCTCTGCAGAGAAACTGCAGTAGATAGTTTCCAAGGCAAAAGCTAAACCGTGATGCTCACAGAAGCCACTTCAGAGCAGGTTTGAGAAAGCTGACAGGGGATCTTGCTTTTCTGGGCTGTCAATCTGGCTTGGCTGCACACAGGCGCACTGGGGAGCTACAGAACAGGCTTTGGTTCAAATGGTACTTGAAAGTTCATTCAAATTTACCACAAATGTAATGGGGTATGTGAGAATGTTAGATAGCATATACAGCTTAGCAGAGACTAAGTTGGGGTGTTTTTTAATTCTTTGTGTCATAGCTGTTCTCAGAGCTTTGTGCTGTGATTAGTGTTATTCACCTCAGTAATTTTCATTCAGGTTTCCTCTTTTGTTTGCAGTAAACACTTGGTGATATCACGACTGGGGTGGCTGGAGGTAGAGTTGGATCAAACTGCAGTATAATAAGGTTAATTTCTAAAATACAACTGGAGGTCATCAAGCCTTGAACATAATGGCATAGGAGGTGCTAGTGAACAGCATGGATGTCCTGTCCTTCCTCTGGCTGCCTATGGGGTCAGCCGCTGCCTGTCGAGTGTGTGTAGATCAGAGACTTCAGCCCGCCTTTAGAGGCTTTCTTACTCCCTGAAGATTCATAAGCAGCATTGATGAATTTGTCGCAATCTGCATTTTTGTCATGGTCTTAATATAAGGTGGGAGGCTTAAAAGATTTAAATAAGCACCTATTAGATTTATAGGTCATATGGTAAAAACTGCCCTATTGGTCATTTGCCACAACTTGTTTTTATTGACTGCTTTCCACAAAATCAAGATCTCTGTCTCCTACATGAAATTGTAGATAAGAAAGCTGCTACAAATAGTACTTTGTTCTTTATCAGCAATGACTGCGTTCCTTCACCTGCTGTAATCATTAGAAGGTTGTCAACTTTAAAACAAAGAAAAACAAAGAAAAAAGTCACATATGTATGTGTCTAGCCACTGAAGTGCACTGTAAATCTTCAGAAAGATAACGCTGGATGCTGTGTACTTAGCCTTTGCAACAGAAATTGTTGAAATACCATGTTGACCTCACACAAAATTTATATTCTTTTAGTTTATTCTATTTTATTTAAAGTTGCTAAATACTGTAAATCCCAAAGGACAGCACAGAACTGTGCACTATAACATGTATGTTCAGGCAGATACTGAGGAAACAAAAGTGTTTGGGATTTGTATTTTTATTTTTATATTTTATTACTATTTCCTATTTTTATAAATCCCTGTACTTGAAAATGATTTGCATTGTGTTTGTTATTTCAGAATTTACTTCTTAATATTACTGAAATCCAAAGAGGAAGGAGCAAAAATGCATTTTAAGATAAATTGTAAAAGAAGATGAAGCATAAGTTGAAACAGTTAAGCCCCTTAAATGGGGTTCTTTTATTGACTTTTTTGAGTTTTCTTTTTGAAACATAAGCTTTTCATCAGATCATATTGGACGAATCTTTCATGCATAAGTAGGTTTAAGTCTTCATGCATATTTCAAGATTTTCAACCCCCTTGAATAATATTTGTACTTCAGGCATTTAAGATACATTAGGATATTCATATTATTTATATTTCTTTGAGAAAAAAAAGAAGTCCCGCTCCCTTCAGAATCTGACCATCATTGAGACAAGCATGTCAGCAATTTTTTTCCACTTTTTGATGTGTAAACCAGCACCAGAAATTGTTAGGAATCTAAGTAATCAGTTAACAAGTTTAGAGAGGTGAAGAGTATCAAACAGGAGTAAATGACAGAAGCTGTTTGTATTACTTTTAATACAAAAGCCATTAGGAACATGTCACTTAGAGTTCACAAAATAGGTTGACCTCTTTCCTTACTGTTTATGCAGCAACATAAACAGGAAAGGATCACATAAATCTGCCAAGTGAAATGTAGTTATTTTATACCCATTTAAAATAGATAAAAAAGGCCTGTTTTCCTCTTTGCACCCACTGCTACAGAAGTGCACCTGCTCATGCAGAGTGGGAGCAGTGCAGAGGGGCGACCAAAGATAGGGAAGGAAGAAAACTTCCAGCATCTGTCATCCACAAAACTTATGTTGGAAGTTTCAGTCTTCAGATGTGTTATCATGAAGCTATCAGTCTAATCTCAGTGTGAATTCCCACGTAAGGGGTTGTATTTGTAGAAACACCTAGTGCAGAGAAAAGCTCAGTAACAGTGAAACACGGAGGAAGCATGTGTTTGCACAGAGTGTTCTGGTGTTGTTTGGCAGTGATTGCTGACATAATGATGCTGATTTTCTTTTGAATAAATTTGATGAGACTTTCTCTAAAGTCCATTATTTCTAGGATGCCAGAAACACATCTAAGGAGCAGGCAGCTCAGGGTCTGCTCTGGGTACTGAATAAAGGCAGCTGAGGTCTTTCTTTGAGTATCCATCTTGGAAATGATAAGGGCTTGCGGTTTACCAACCTACTACAGGTTGGCGCCTGATAAACATGTGAGTGCCGTTGGGACTTAAGCTCCTCAGTGAAAAAGTTACTCTGAAATTATGACTTAAGTCCCAAAGTCATTGAATTGCCTTTGAAAATATTTTCTTTCTCAGATGTTCATTGAAAAATTTATAGTACTTACTGCTATACTTGACTCATGGCTACCCTTTACTGCAAGTGCTTACGTTTGGGCCCTGCATTATACAGGGGCATTATATATGCTATACATGTTCCTTAAGCACTGATACCTTTTGAGAAAAATCTATAAAGAAAGCAAGTTTTTTTAATTTTAAAGATACTGAGGGGAGCCAAACACCTCAGAGGCTCATCTTGGGACTGAGACTAGTGCCACATTGTAAGAGGGTAGGATATTGTACAGAAAGCTGAACCACCTGTATATCGTGTTCTTGAAAACAGCAACCTGTGCATGGTAGTATATTTGACTAGCTCTTAAATAACATCCTTGTGTTATATAGTGTCATGTCTATGCCTTAGTTGCGTCTGCTCTATATATTCGTGTCTGAAATTTTTGGGAGCTCTCATAAACAAACAGTCCACTTAGTGTTAAGACAGCAGTAATACTACTTGCAACTGAGATTAACACTGTGATTTTTATTTCAAACAAGTCATACTTGCACAAAGAAAACTATGAAGTAGAATCTCAAGCAATATGCACAAATTTGATTTCTTATTTTATCTTATTAATATTAATAATATAATGAATAATATTTATTATTGTGCTATTAATAATGCATATGGCTTAACCCTGATTCAAATAAATTATGTTCTTCTTTTTGCAACATGATTAATTTATCTTCTTTTTTTCTCTCTTTCTCTCTCTCTCTCTCTTTTTTATCTCTCCTTATCTTTTTTCCCTTTTTAACAGTCCTGGTACCTGGGCTAGCTTGGTTCCTTTTCAAGTTTCTAATAGGACACCGATCCTGCCAACAAATGTCCCAAATTATGGTTTGAACATAATTGGAGAGCCTTTCCTTCAAGCAGAAACAAGCAACTGAGGGAAAAATAAAAAGTAAAAAACAAATTTCAAAAAGAAAGGAAGACAGGAGGAGAAAAGAAACTGAAGAAAGAAGAAAAAATAGACCAGCAATTGCAGCTCTTACAATCACTAATTCCCTTATGGTTGAAACTGAAATGACATACAAAGGGTCGATGATATTTCACTGATGGGTAGAATGCAGCCCCTGCTAAGTAGCCTTTGTTATATGAAGTCCGCTGGGAAATAGATGTTCTGTCTCTGACAATATATTTTAACTGACTTTCTAGATGCCTTAATATTTGCATGATAAGCTAGTTTTATTGGTTTAGTATTCTTGTTGTTTACGCATGGGATCACTATTCCTGGTTATCTCACAAAACAAAGGCTAGGCAGCAGCAGCAGAGCTGCAGGACAAGGGCCATGAGCCAGACATTTTCTCAACACTCTGATTTCTAAATGTTTTAAAAATAAGCTCTGTAGCCTTTAGTTCTTAGTATGGATTTATTAAACTTTGGCCCTTAATTCAGCCTTTTCTAGTGTGTTATGCAGTTTGACATTTTCAATCAGTATGAACACACAGGCTCTATGGAATAAATGCCTCTATGTAGGTATAAGTGTTATCTCCTCATGCAACAGTAAAAAAGTAAAAAAAAAAAGTGAACATTTTCCCCACTAAAGAAACACTTACAGAGGCAAGTGCAATTTAAAAATCATATCTAAGGGGTCATCACTATAAGTCCTTCAGCCCTTGGACTCTAAATTGAGGGGATTAAAAATAGAAATAAAAATTACGTTGAACAAACTTATTTTTCCCCTCAGTTTTTGAGGGCATTAAAAGGCATTAAATCAAGACAAATCATGTCCTTGAGAAAAAGAAATCAATGGAAACACAGCACTTATGTTGGTTTAGCTGCTGCCTCCACATAGGGGTAGGATTTATTTATTTAAAGTTACTGGTTGCATCAAGAACCCATAGGGTTTACATGTTTCTGTAAAATCTGCATTGTAGAGACAAAGAGATAGGCAAATCCATGTCACAAGGGCAAAGCTTACAGTTTACAAACTGGTAATACCAGGATGGGGATATGTTATATTTAAATAATGCACTCTTAATGTAAGTTTAGTTACAGGGTGCTGAAAACTTGCATGGTGCTTTCAGAAGTTAGCCTTGTTCAACAATTATCACATATTAACAGAAATATAATGTGCATGGGCAGACATTTTGCCTCTATGTCTCTTTAAAAAAATAATTAAAATACTCTTTCCAGTAATCCTGATTTGCACGAAGTTATAATGTCCACATTACGTGCCTTGCCTTGAAATCTAAAAAAAAACGGAAAAAAAACAAAAAAAAGAAAAAACCACACAAAAAAAAATTTGACATCACTACACTTGTTTTGCTGCATTTATTATAATTTTAAATCTTTACCATTTTTATGACAAAATATTTTGTACTCCAGATGGGAAAAAAGCGTGACATCATGGATTTTTTAGACAGTTATACCTTTATCTCACATTTATAAAGCATATCATGGCTGTGTATAGTTGCCGCTTAAAAATTGTAATCAACCAGCAATATTTTCAGTATTTTGGTGTTTTTTCTATTAACCTTTCATGTTTTTCATCTTCCAATTAATATTGGGGGGAGGGGATACAAATTTATATGAATTATGCAATACCAAGTTTTGCCTATGTAGGTAGTGCTTTTAGCTGTATTGGTTATTATAGGTAAGTACACAGATTTAAAAGAAAAAAAGAAAAAAAAAGAATAATGTATGCTTTTTTTCGTTTGTTTTAATTGACCAAAGTGGGTACTGCTATTTTTGCAGTGTGATGAGGTCCTTTTCTGTACTGAGAGGTGGACAGGGGATTTTTTTTTATACATACATATATATATATTCTGGGGTGGGTGGGGAGGATTTTTAACACTTTACAGTGTAGCTGTGAAGCAGTGCACCCTTAGCCAGGCAAGGGCTGCAAAGCGACTGTTCTGCCTACTGTGACAAACTTTCAAATCGGTTCCCTCTTTTTAACTTCCCACCTGGGGTGCAAGCTGAAATCATTTCTGGATTTTAAAAATAAATAATGAATTCTGTTGGAGGCAGACTTGACTTGAGGAAATTGTTTTACTTTAAGCTTTTTTGTTTTGGTTTGTTTTTTTTTTTCCTTGAGAAAGAAAAAGAGAGACAGACAGAGAGAGAAAGGGGTCAAGACCCACAGCAAGATGAAACTTTTTCCATTCTGGCAAAGATACTGCATCCTAAAGTGTTCATGTTAGAAAATGGTTTTAGCTCAGAATGACAAAGACAGTTGCTTTGTCTAGGAAATGCACATAGAGGGCCAAAGTCTTTGCTGGCATAACTCCACTGACACCAGAGTTGCTCCTGCAGAGAATTTGCCTCCCTTAGTTTGCTTGATGGGTAAATAGTCTTTTTTTTTACCTTCTATGTCAAAAATTTTTTTGTGGGTTTTTTTTTTTTTTGGACCCCCCCCCCCCCCCAAGTTTGTTAAGTCACAACAGCTGAATTACAATTTTCAGGATGTGTCAGAGGTTTTCAGTGTCTTCTCATACAGCAGGTCAGATAGATGGAGAGCTCTGGGCTCTAACAGGGAAGGACTTTCTTAATGCACAGAATTATGATGTAAATAAAAGTGTATTTCCATTGCATTTTACAGATCAGTAGTGGACTTCTTGCTGTAGACCTCTGATGCAGCAAGGATCTTTGAGATGTATGGCTCAACATGGGGTGATTTTTTCTTAAAAACACATCCTTGTGTTAGGGCACAACCAGAGTGTAGACCTGTGGGTTTGGGGTACTCTGGTGGGAAAATCCATCCCTTTGCAGTTGTCTCTGCATTTTGGAGGGTTTTCTACCCTGGAGCAGTCCTGGAGTGCAGCTCCAGTGACAGCCACCCCACTGAGTGCAGATCAGTGGCACACCAAAGTCAGTCCCTTCCTGCTCTGGTAAGCGCACGGCAGGTGATGAGCTGCAGTGGTGGCACATCCCCACGTCTGCAGCAGGAGATATATGTGTAAGCAGGGTCAGCATGGCTACAGACACAGGAGCTGCAGAGAAGCAAACCTTTGAGATTTATCTACAGTTAAACTGAAAAAAAGCAAGCCTACATAAAAAGATAAAATATCAAAAGAAAATAAAGATTAATTTTACATTTCTCATTTTCTGTGCCCTGTAATAAGTGAGTTTGTTCACTAAACACTTGCCTATTTGGATTACTGAAATGCATTACACCCACTCAGAGTGCACCTGAGGCTCTAGCCTGGTAAAACAAAATATGTATTGTCCTTTCTGTATGTCACTGATGCTGAGCAGTTCAGGAGCAGAGGGATGTGGGCGTCTGGTCTTGATTAGTGCCATTAACAAGGTGTCCCCCTTGGGCTTTCAATAGCACACCGGGATGAAACTGAAACAAGTTCAGGCTTCAAAGTCAATATGTAAGTTAATAGTCAAAATAATGCTTGCCCTTGTAGGAAGATGGATGCCCTTAACAGAAATTTTTTATTATGTCTGACCTTCTGTATGAGAAATACTGAGCTTACAAATGCAGTATTTTAAAAAGCAGACTCCTTCCTTCCATATGAATGAATTGGATTGTTAAAGTAACTGTGGGTTTTTCAAACCTGACTCTCTAACAGGAAAGCCTGTTTGGAAGAAAATGAACTTTGCATTAATCGTAGGTTTGGATTGGTGTTTGTTGTTTTCGGGGTTTTTTTCCCAGTTATTGTTTCGTTTAATTTTCTTGGTTTGGGTTTTGTTTGTTTGTTTGTGGGTATTTTGGGGGTTTTGTTTGGTTGGTTGGATTTTTTTTAAGCTCAGCAGTCAAAAGATTAAGATCGAGAACTCAAATCCAGTCTCTAGCCTCCTCCTTCACCAGGAAGTGTATTCTGACTGAATTGAGCCACCCCGTTCTATGTGCACTGTTCTGCCTTTATTAAGTTGCTTTGCAGCCCTGGCCTCATGGCTGTGCCACTGAAGTGTGTTTCCCCTGTGACATGAACGTTTGAGGCTTGACTAAGAAAAAAAAAAAAGGCAGTGAAGGAGACTGTACATAAAGACATGGCAAAAATATTAATTATAGCAATATAGTTGTGGGGTGATGTTCAGGTGGGCAGCTCCATTGAAAATATGTGAATGAATTTGTGAAGCTGCAAGTAGCGAGAAGAAAGGAGGATCTTCTGAATGAACCGCCTACCTTGTAGACAGTAATTTGTACACTGTATAGTTTTGTTAAGATTTTTTTTTTTTTTAATTAAAATACCCTTGTTTGTAAAGCTAACTTTTTAACAATTATAACGGAAATGCATGTCATTTCCATTTTTAAACAAGAATATTCTTTGTTTGGAAACTGGACTTGGGTTAAAACTCTCCAGTTTCTTAATTTATGTATTAAGAAAAGAAATCTGTCCATGTTAGGAGTTATTTCGCAGATTCCTGTGCTTGTAAAGCATAGGTTGCTAATCCTTTAAAAATGTAAATGGAGAAAAGTTATATTTTATGAAGGTTATTTTGTTGTATTTAGTATTGGAAAAGTTGGTTTTCAGAGCATTTCAAAATGTTGGAAGCACCACTGTCTTTTTATTAGTATATATGGCCTTTAGCAAAAGTTTTTGTGATTGTTACATGATGGTATTTAAGATTAGGTTCACAGAGCAATTCAGGATAGGCAGAGAACTAAAACAGTACTTATGTCTCACATAGCTGTGTCCTCAGGGAGCAGAATTTTGGATTTGCAACTTGTAGCTTCATAAGGACTTAATGAAAGAGATTGCACAAGGACATACTCAGCTGTGACACCGGAGTGTGTTCTGTACCTAAATCTAAATTATATTTACTGTGTGAGGTTATGAAGGCTGCAGAAAGTTATCCCATATTCAGTGTACAGTATTCACTTTTAATGAAACAACTCTCTAATGTCGCTGGCAGTAAGGCCCCAGGCATGACATCCAGTATAGTTTACATGATCCTGTCGAGGTCTTTTGTTAACATTAACCAGCTGCAT